CCCCTTCTCATGTAAACATCGATCAAAAAAAAATCTAAGAAAAAATGTCACTGAGGACCAGTTTAGAACATTAGCCTTGAGTTCTTTTATCTTAATTGCAAGAGTTCAATCGTTACTCTTGATTGATGAGTAATTTTATGCATACAAAATTTACCTAGTAACTTGATTGGACCTCGATACAAGAAGAAAAAAAACACAAAACGACAGCAGGGCCACCTTGTGCAAATTGCCGAAGCAATGGATTCTAGGATCCTCCTTAAGAGGGCCCTCACGTTGGGTTCTTGTACAGGTCGTAGCCAATCAATCACCGGTGACAAAAGATCTAGAAGTAACCAAACATTCAAAGCTGACATAGTCAAACGTGTCGCCCTGGATGGAAGGAAAGACATGGTCAGATTATTGTTGACATCTTCCTTCCTTTCATTCTAACTGAAGTGGAGGTGACAAATGTCTTGTGATCATTAAAATTTTTTTATCAGATTTTGAACTATACGAGGTTACCAAAAATTTGTTGTACTTACTGATTCAATAATTTTTATTGGTTTAATATAAAAAATTTAATGCATGTAGTAGTATTGTTAGTAAGATATAACAATAATACTGTCGAAAAATTATTATTTTTTTTGTATCATAATATTTTTCTCCATTGAAAATGGCACATGCAAAAAAAAAAAAAAATTGAACTTTATTTTATATTTTTATTATTTTTAAAATCAATGACTAGAATTTTTAGACGTGGTATTTTTTCTTTTAGGGTTGTCATTGTGCTATCCTGTCCCTGTTAGTGAGATAATATACCAGCAGGATTTGGTCAGATCAAGCTGCGCCTTCTGGAAGGGCTTGTTTTGATATGGTCATACACATTCGACAAGACACTTGTTGCATATATGGTACTAGAAAGTAGAAATTATTCGTGCTTAAAACTACCCTTTATTATAAAAACAAAATTAATAATTAAAAAAATACCATCTACCAAAAATTTAGTTTTCCTTAGAATTTTACAATCAAATCCTATTAGAGAGAATACTTATGCCCCGTTTAGTAAAAATGATAGAAAATATGAGGGATATATTTTTTATTCTTTAGGAAGACTTTCATTCATTTGTGTTTAGTTAGATGGATGAAAAATAAATGACTATTTTTTATTTTTTTTTGTACTGACTAAGATTAGAGGTGACAATCGAATTATGTCGTGTCAATTCGTGTTGAGTCATTACAGGTTTGTATCGAATATTAGTCAAATTTATTTTAACTCATTTAACTAATTGTGTCGTGTCGAGTTGCGAGTTGACCATTTTATTTTCGTGTCGTATTCGTATTCATATTGACCCACATAAACTTTAAATAAAAATTTAATGCTAATATTTAATTTTCACTTAATTGAATCCATGTTAATATTTTTTCTACAAACTAAAAATTAACTTAAATAAATATAATAATAATAAGTAAAAATATTTTTTTTATATAATAAATATGTCAGTACTTAATAAATAGTTATAAATAATTAACATATTATATCTATAATATTAATTAAACATGTTAGTTTCATGTTAATTTCGTGTTACCTTACAAATAAGAAAAAAAAGAAAGTGTTTATTTTTAAATAAACGAATTGATGGTGTCAATTTTGAGTTTGACTGATTGAACTGAATATGAGTCTTTTATATTTCTTATTCGCGTGTCAGGTTATTTTCTAGTTCGTGTTGAATTATAATCAAATTCGTATCGAGTTCAAGTCGTGTCATCGTGTTGAGTCGAAAATTTTCACCCCTGGTTAATATGAGAATTTTTTTTTTTTTAAATTTAAAATTTTAATTTTAATTTTTTAATGTATTTTTAAAATTTTAAAATATATATATACATAAATACATATTCTATCATTGTATTTTTATATAAAATTAATGTATAATAATATATATATAAATATTAAAAGATATATAGACAAATAAGATATATCTCAATATAAATAATTAACTGTTCATTCACTTTCTTTCCGATTTTGAAGGGATTGATTTTGGTAAGTTGAAAAAAAAATTAATTCATCCACTTTTTTATCTTTCCTATTTTCTTTTTTTAACAAACACAATGTTTTATTTATCCCTCTAATTTTTCACCCTTCAAACTTTTTATTTTTTTATTTTTTTATTATAACAAACAAAACATTAGTCTTACCTTAATTAACGTGAAAAAATAAAAATGAGTTGTATGTTATTAGTATTGATAGGTACATATTCAAGAGGATAGTCTATTCAAAGGACCATGACAATAGTCTGTAGGTCTGTGTTGGATGTAGGACAATTCCCCTTGACTTCTGCGACTTTGACAATCTTGCAAATTAGGCCCCCATGTATTCAAGGTTAAAGACCTACTATAATTTTGGAGTTCCACCCACCCACCAAGTTTTACAAAAGCAACATCACCTCAACAAAAATGCTTTTGACTTTTTCTAATTTTCTGTCTACTTCTCACTGTCTTTTGAACATGTCTTGTGCAACAATAACCACCAAAAGTTCAACCAAGAACAATAGAAAAAGGCAAAGAAGGACCACATACAGCCATGCATGCGAGAAACAAACAACCATCATAAATCTCCTTCAATTAAGTTAGATATTTTGATTAAAATGGACAATCAAAAAAATTGAATGTTGAATCGTATGAAGTAGAAAACTCTCAAGTACAATTTTAAGGAAAGGAATTGACATGTTTTTTCTTATTCCAACTAAGGAGAACATATTTATTCAACTCAATTCACGTGTGTCAACTTTTTTGTCTAAAAAATACATTGTTGGAACGATGCTCGATTACTAAAAATATGTTGTGCAGCTTCTTCAGCCACAAATCATCACAAACAACTCTCTCTCTCTCTCTCTCCCTCTCTCTCTCTCTCTCTCTCTCTCTCTCTCTCTCTCTCTTCTTCCAACACACTCTAAAAAAATTTAGTGCTTTTTTGTTGTCTTAGAAGATGCAACTAAATTATATTTTGAAGTGGAAATTCATCAAAAAGATGCCACAAAACCATCATTTGGCAGAATTTGAGAAATTTTCATCTCAAAAAAAAAAAAAAACTACCAAGACCAGTGCAATAGCAAAGAAGATATATAGAGCATAAAGCATGAACAACATGAATAAGGGCAAATTTGTGCAGTCAAATTTGGCAATAGTTGACAACTAAAACCAATTCTATTCCTCAAGTCATAAACATCCCAACGTGTCCCTAATACACTTATAAACATGTAACTTTAACTAGGGAGTGTCTGTCCAGACCCACTTGAAAACAACTGTCTGGACATCACCAATCATGACCAAATTCAATTCTACTTGTACTGGACTTGGTCCCCAAATGGTGCCACCGTACATTATTTTATATACATCTCAAAACCAAGTTGAATTAGACCTGCACCCTACAATGGTTTCTGATAATTTTAAGAAATACCCTTGCAGTTTTTAAAATTATGCTAGTATCCTATCAAATTTTATACCCAGATGGAGGTAACACAACGTACGTGTGTTTTGTCAATATCACTTAGTTATACATCTTACACACCAGCACCCAAATGTCGCTTATGCCTCATTAGAGTAACTTAGTCATACAACCACATATACATCTTCCTTTTATCTTTATCTTCATCTTTGCCTCACCACCATTCTGCCAGTCCCTCCCCTCTGCCAGGACTCGTCGACCTTTGGTTTTCAACTTCCTTTCCCAGTTATTGTGATCAAATCTGACTAAATGTGAGGCACACCAAAATTCGATCACCCACTCATATTACAGAGAAAAATACAATAATATTCATGGATTTCATTTGTCAATATTCACAAGTATCTCGTAAAATATAAGCACAAAGTAAACGGGACAGCAATATAGTTTTAAAAACTACGAGGGTATCCATTTGTCCGAAATCATTTCACCAAGCAGTTCAATTTTTGCTATAAAAAATAATCTCCAAATTAAGCTAAGAAAGTTATAACTAGTAAAGGAAGGAAGGGTATGTTGGTCAAGCAATTTTTTGCTCTTTTGACTGCGATGCGACGTACTGCTACATTGTATCTACGGGTGAACAGAGGAGTAGTTTATATTGCAGGTAATCTGCATATCTCTCTCTCTCTCTCTCTCTCTCTCACACACACACAAACTCACATTCATTTCCCTCGTTGAATTTCCTTTGTTTTTGTTCGTCTTTTTCTGTTTTCCAGTCTTTAATGATAACTCCCACACGGAATATTATGAAAAAAAAAATTTCAAAAAAGTCTTCAATGTTAACTTGTGATGAGCAAATGACGACGGAAAGGAAGACTCCTTCAATTTATTAAATCCGTGGGCCCTGAATTACCCCGGAGTCAAACTCGGGACTTGATCAAAAATAGTCTCTCTCTCTCAAACCCTCTTCACATACCATGAGATATATAACTAGAATGTTCTTCTAAGTTGAAAGCATCCAAACCATTTCCTTCACTGCACACGCACAAAGAGAAAGAGAGAAAGAGAGAGAGGAGCTCAAAAGATTCAGAAGCATGGAAGTGGATAAGTTGAGCAAAATAGTTGATAATGAAGATGATGATGAGGATGATGTTCCACTTCCAGGGTTTCGGTTTCATCCGACAGATGAAGAGCTTGTAGGGTTTTATCTTCGGCGGAAAGTTGAGCGGAGACCCCTCAGTATTGAACTTATCAAACAGATTGACATCTACAAATACGACCCATGGGATCTTCCAAGTATGTGATGATTTTAGTGTTTTATTCTTGAGTTATCTTTTGTTTTCTTCCATTTCTCTTTGAATGAAATTTTAGGTTTTGGTTCAAAAGATCGGTGTTAAGAATAATTATTTTTAAGCACAATTATGAGTACCAAACTATCCACCTCTTAGAGTCTCGTAGATGTTCATAAGAATGAAATATTATATATATACCTAGAACTCTCTTAACCGCTCAGAGATCAAAACTGGTAATATTTTCACGGTCTCCTTTTTATCATGAAATGATGCAATTCGTATTATTTTATAGTAGTAGATGCGTATAAGGTTTTCATAAAATAGAAAACTTTTCTGTTTCTACCATGAAGATTACAGTAACATGAAATGGCAATTACAGAAAAGGGTTAAATGATACGAAGGTAATTACAGAAAAGTTTCTATTTTATGAAAACCTTATACGGAGCTATTTTATGGAAACCTTAGATGGTTTTTTTTTTTTTTTTGGCTCATCACTGGCACTTACAGAAAAAGTATGATCAAATCATCCTCGAACAGAATTGAAGGTATCGCTTACAGAGTAAAAGAATGATCAAATCATCTAGCAAAAGAATAGAGTTATGTTATCATGACTGGCTGATGTTAACGCAAAGCCCTAAATATATATATGTTTTCTAGTTTCAAAAGGAGGGGAAACGGGAAAGAAAAAAAAAGAAGAAATAGCCAGCATCGAAAGGCTCGCAAAGTTTTTTCTATGCTCTCTCTCTCTCTCTCTCTCTCATGGTGTTTCTCTTTTGCTTGATATATATGCAGAAGCCAGTAACGTGGGAGACAAGGAGTGGTACTTCTTTTGCAAAAGAGGGAGAAAATATAGAAATAGCATAAGACCGAATAGAGTCACAGGTTCTGGATTTTGGAAAGCGACTGGTATTGATCGGCCGATATACTCAGCCGGCGGAGAAGGCCGGGAAGGCCGGGAATGCATTGGACTCAAGAAATCATTGGTGTACTACCGTGGAAGTGCTGGCAAAGGCACCAAAACTGATTGGATGATGCATGAGTTTCGCCTTCCAGCTGATCATGATCATGAAAAAAGCACCAAACACGTTGATACCAAAAGCATTCCACAAGAAGCTGTAAGAAACTGTTTCATCTGAATAGTTTTCAATCGGTACAAATGATTCCATTGATCGAAAATAGTGGATTTACAATATAGTTTAAGACATTGAGTGATGGCTTCAAGAGATCCATATATACTCACAAAAGAGATACCCAAGTGATCGAATTAGCTAGTCTAGAAAATGATACTCAAAGTCGCAATTCTAACTGTTGGAGTAAACCTTTTTGAGATTCATTCTTACATTCCAGTCTAACTCTCCTTTATGTCTGGATCTCTTGGAAGTACTTGCATGTACAACTTATATTTCATCTTTATCATGTAAGGTTATTGGGGGTGAGATTATCAATCATGACATTTGATGTCCTCTTTGGTTTTGCAGGAAGTCTGGACACTATGTCGAATTCTCAAGAGAAATCTGCCGTATAGAAAGTGCATACCGGATTGGAGGGAATTACCCGCTAAACGAAATTCAGCTGATGCAAGCTTCAAAACCAACAGTAGTATTGAATTTGACAATCGACAAGGTTACATTAGTTTCAGTGCTCCTGTAGTTCAACAGATTGAGAAGAAACCATTTGTTAATCATGTTGATGTAACGAACCAGCTCCTTGTAGGCCAATTGAGCTCTATGTCTCAAGTTCCATCAAGCACTGCATCATATTCAAGCTTTTTTAGTCCAAACATGGAAGAATTGTTGAAGCATGGAGACTGGGATGACCTCAGATCGATTGTGGAGTTCACTGCAGATCCATATTTTATGTAAAAAAAACCTTGTGTAGTATTATTAGTGATTGCATAAATAAAAATAATAGAGACTGATTGTAATACTCTGTGTGTGTGTGTTTGTGTGTAAACCAAAGGACTGATAATAGCATTAAGCCATTAACACAGTTTACCCATTCGGTATACAGAAAGGGGAAATTGTAATTTGTCATTTTACAAGTTTTATACCTGAGTACCACCCTCTAGGGCAGACAATAGATTTTGTTCAGAGTATTTTGGTTTTACCTCACTCATAGACACCTTAAGCAAATGCCTTCGCAATTACTCAGGAGCCTGCTTCTGTTGCTCTGTCTGCAGTCAACCTCGCAAAGCATTTCCATGGGTGGCTGTCATTTTTCATCTTTCTATACTACAAGCTGCCTCTGGGACCAATTGGAAGTCGTACTACAGTTTCAGTTGGGCTGTGGCATATCTATGGCCTCTTATCAATAAATGCCTGGTTCTGGAATGTTGTTTTCCACTATTGTGACCTTCTTCCTTTCCGTTCGTTTACCATATAGTTGTTCATGTCTAGTTCATACATTGTAAAGAAGTAACGATAGAATCAAGAAAGTTCATTGCTAACAGAATCTATGATCATTGATAATAGAATCAAGAAAGTTCATGGAGAACTAGCAAATCATAACCAGATTAGATTGTTGTTGTTCCATGAAGGAGGATTGGTGATAATGTTCTCTTAGTCCAAGAATTCATGAGGGATTCCACAAAGATAGAGATTCTCATAGATGTGCTATTAAGGTTGACCTTATGAAGGCCTTTGACAAGGTTGATTGGAATTTTATCATTTCAGTCTTCAGGAGATCCAACTTTCCTGCAAGCATGATTACTTGGATCCAAAATTTTGTCCACAACAAGTTTCAACATTGGCCTAAATGGTGAGTTGATTGGTTTTTTCCCAAGCAAAAAAGGTTTAAGGCAGGGTGGCCCAACGTCCTCTTACTTGTGTGTCCTAGCTATGGAAGGCCTTAATCACATCCTCAAAGATGAAATCTCAGTTTCCAATTCCTTCATATATCATTGCAGATGTAAGAAGGAAAAATTATTTCATATGTGCTTGCTGTTAACTTAATACTTGTCATTTATGGGGACCTATATTCAGTTACCATTTTGACATGTTCCAAAACTTCTCAAGCCAGTGGACTGTGCACCATTAATTAATAAAAAACTGCAACTAAAATCAAAAGTTAGATCAATAAATCCCTGTCTTATGTAGGTAGACTCCAATTGGTGACATCTGTCTTATATAACAAGCAAAACTATTAGCTGAGTCATATAATCCTACATAAGAGTGTTTTGAAAAGAATAGAGCAGTTGCTGAGATCCTTTTTATGGTTTGACAATGAGTATATGAAGGGGGTCCTAAAGTTGCTTGGAAACTGTTCTAAAAGTAAAATAGAAAGAGGGGTTTTGGTCTTAAAGATCTTCCTGGCTGAAACAAAACCCTTATGCTAAGATATCTTTGGAATGTTCTTTCTGATAAAGAGAATCTCTGGGCTACCCGGATCAAAATTAATTACTTGAAGATGAAAAGTTTTAGGGAAGTACAGGTCCTACAAATATGCTCATGGAATTGGAGGAAATTTTTAAGCTCAGAGATATGGCAAGACCCATGTTTCTTCACATAATTGGTGATGGAAAATACAGTCATTTGTGACAAGACATTTGACATTCTCATGATCTTTTCATGCCTAGATGGTCTCCTAGTATCATTGATTGCTCTCGGCCCCTACACATCCTAAAGTTTATAAGAATACCCAGCCATATTTTTAGCATATGTTAGGTATTCGTTAAGATCATGTGCTGCTAGAGTTCTAAGTTATCTAGACTTCTATTCAAATAATTTATGTTTGAGTTTTGTATTTCAAATAGGTTGTTATCCTTTTGGCTTATCCTTTGGATATTATATATAATAGATGCTTGGACTCTCCGGATTATGGAAATCAATGTCTTTCAACAAATGACTATGTTTTTAACTTTTCATCATGGTATTAGAGCCTTTTCTTGGCAAACGTCTTCTGTAACATTTTTTTTCCTTTTTCAGGCTGCTCTAACAAGCAGTCAACAACCCCATAGCTCTTTCATCCAATCTTCAATTTCTGCTCTCCATCATTCACTCTCTTGTTACAGTAAAGCTTGAATCTAACAACTATCGCACGTGAAAAATTCAGATTCATCATGTTCTTCATGCCCATGGATTTTTGGGTTATGTTAATGGTGAATTTCCTTGTCCGACAGCTACAGTGGTGGATACTTCCGGCAAAGAAACTCCGAATCCAAAATTCGATGAATGGTCTCAGGTTGATCAACATCATGTTAGTGCAATCAATGCAACTCTCAGTCCTTCTTTACTGCCATATGTGCTTCATCGGATCAGTTCTTCTGACATATTCTTGACTCTTGAATGTCGCCTCAATTCACCATCTCGGTCTCACGTTATGCAAATGAAGGCTGATCTCCAGAATCAAAAAGGGCAACATGTCCATGAAGGAATATCTCGACAAAGTTCGTTCTCTTGTTGCCCCAGTTGATGAGGAAGATGTTGTTCTTTTCACGTTAAATGGTCTTCCTCGTGAGTATAACTCAGTGAAGACATCCATTCGCACTCGCCCCTCTCCTATTTCTATTGGCGACCTCTTTAGTCTCCTATACTTGGAATAAACGTAAGTGAAAAGGGATACTCAAATTAAGAGTAGAGCCCCGTATATATATCCAAAAATAATACAGAGTGACTTAAACATCCTTGTAGTTTAGGCAAATATAAAAATCTTAGTAAGGGTAAAAAAGGGAAAAGAAATCCTAATAAACCTAGACTATCTATACTCCAACACTCCCCCTCAAGCTAGGCGCAAAAATGTCAACTAAGCCAAGCTTGACAACAGAGTCCCGAAGAATAGACAGAGTGACAGGTTTGGTAAAAACATCCGCAACTTGATCACTGGTCCCCACAAACGATGGAGTAACAAGACCACTGCTGACCTTCTCCCGAAGAAAGTGAACATCGATCTCTATATGCTTCGTTCTCTCATGTAGTACAGAGTCAGAAGTGAGCTGAATAGCAGATTGATTATCACAATATAATGTGGATGGAGAGGTCACTGAAAAACCCAACTCGTCAAGAATCGATCGTAGCCAGATAATCTCACATGTGCCAAGTGCCAATGCCCGATACTCTGCCTCTGCGGACGAGCGGGAGACAACTGCCTGCTTCTTGCTCTTCCAAGAGATAAGATGAGTCCCTCGAAAAGCACAGAAACCCGTAGTAGATCGACCATCACATGCTCCCCCATAATCTGAATCTGAATAACAGGCTAGAGAACCGGTCTGAGATCCTGATGCATAAAACAACCCAAGTCCAGGACAAGACTTGAGGTACCGAAGAATATGATAAACTGCATCAAGATGAGGCTGACATGGCCTATGCATGAACTGACTAACTCGGCTGACTGCGAATGAAATGTCCGGCCTAGTATTGGCTAAGTAGATAAGTCTACCTACCAATCTTTGATAAACTGTCGGATCTTTCAACTCCTCACCTTCAGCAGTAAGCTTCAGGTTTGGAATCATAGGTGATAATGCCGGTTTGCACCCCAACATTCCAGTGTCTGAAAGAAGATCCAAAACATACTTTCTCTAAAAAAGAACAAATCTCTGCTTCTACGGGCAACCTCAATCCCAAGAAAGTATCGCAGAAATCCAAGATCCTTCACATCGAAGGCCTTCCCAAGGTCTATCTTGACCTGCGCAGTCCCAGAAACATCATCACCAGTAATAATAATATCATCAACATATACCAGAAGGATGACACACTGTCCAGAAGTATTCCGTCGAATAAAGCAGGTATGATCAGAATGACACCTGGTGAACCCCAATCGTATGACTACATCACTGAAGCGAGAGAACCAGGCTCGTGGCGACTGTTTCAGTCCATAAAGAGACTTACGCAGTCGACATACCTTTCCAGCATACTCCCCCTCACCACGAAAGCCCGGTGGTGCATCCATATAAATAATCTCGTCCAGATCACCGTGAAGAAACGCATTCTTCACATCTAATTGATGAAGAGGCCAAGAGTACTCCGCAGCCAGAGAAATAATTAACCGAACAGTAGTCAATTTTGCCACGGGGGCAAATGTAGCACCAAAATCACGACCTGGTACCTGAGTAAAGCCTTTCGCCACAAGTCTAGCCTTGTAACGATCAATAGTACCATCTGCCAGAAACTTCAGGGTGTAAACCCAGCGACAGCCAACAGGCTTCACCCCTGAAGGTAAGGAGACAAGATCTCATGTATGATTACGCTGAAGAGCGTCCATCTCTGTCTGCATGGCAAGAACCCACTGGGGCTCCCGCATAGCTTCTGAAATAGAGCGAGGAACCAGCGTATCTGATAAGGCCATAGTATAAGCTCGAAATGTGGGAGACAGATTACCATAAGAAACATAAGCAGAGATCGGATATAAAATCTTGGCGGTCCAACCATATCGATCAACTGGACGGCGATCACGCCTTGGATAACGACGCCCTAAATCACCATCCTCTACTGATAATATCTTATCAGGTAAAGTAACTGGCTCAGCACCTGTAATCTCATCAGTACTAACAACAGGTGCATCAATATGCTCAACAAACTGAGAAGTATTACCTGCATCGCCTGAAGTAGAGGGGATATCAGCAGGGTGATGAGAGCGAGGACAACGAGCATACACCTGCAAAGGAAGAGAGACTGGTAACTCTGTACTGACAGGGATGAGTGACTCCTTTGGAGGAAAAACGGATGACCCTGTAGGGATAGTGATCAATGACTCTGACTCTTGTGGTAATGGAAAATCAAAGGGAGTATCATCAACTGGAGGGGCAGACAAAGGACTGAAAGGAAAATAAGGAATATGCTCAAGAAAGGTAACATCTAGACTGTGATACATACGACGCCTAATAGGATCATAACATCGATACCCCTTAGATTGATGACAATAGCCCACAAAGATACAACGAATCGCTTTATCATCAAGTTTATGACGAGTAGGAGACCGATCCTGAACA